GAAATACAATGCGCAGCCTAGGCTACACAATAATACATAATGTCTCACGGTTGTAGCCTATGATTTACCCGTCATTGTATTTACGTATTGTCAATCAGAGACAGGCCTATGATATTCGCCAAGGCAAGGCAAGACGTTTTACCAGAACACAGCATAATATGACAATCTGTTTTTAGGCTATATAGTAGCGTAAATACATGTAGGCAAACGTGTGGTTCAATTGATTAATTCGCAGTGTCGTGACAATATAAGATACCACAGCGACCGGTGGTCATGCGTAAAAGGCAACTCGTTGTAGATGTCTTCGATCCATGACACTCAAGACTAACCTACACAACGGGACTTTTCCCCTAAATATATTTAACGTTGTGTGCGGGGCTGTAAAGTGCACTGGGACGCACGTTTACTTTAGCTGTAGACAGGGGCCTATTCAATCCGCCGATACTGTTGCAAACCGTTTCTTAAACGGAAGCAAACGGAACGAAACGTGGACGGATTTACCTCAATTGGTCCAATAGAAACTCTCGTTTTAGTTGCAAACGGAATGCAACTGTTTGGACTAATGATTACACCCCGCGCTTCAGACGGGGTAATGAGACAGCTGCTACACGTGACGGTTACATGGTTGTATAACGCAAAATATTTAGGTCAACACGATTCTTGTTTGGCACGTACACTTACATAAAGTATCTCGAAGTCTCGAATAACACTGACCTGAGAGACAAAAAAAGAAGTTCGAACGAGGGGGGAAAAGACCACTCGAATAAGTTTACATATATGTATATATATATGTTAATTTTTCAGGTTGGACACGTATATTTACACGAGAAAGCAGTGTTATAACTCACAGATTGAAACCGTTCAATTCTAGGGAGCCTAGAGTAGTAGCCTATATAGACAATCATTTTTCCCTCAAATAAATGCAAAATTACACTTTGTAGCCTATCATTTTAGAAGATAAAAGGAACGTTTCATTCCAAAATCGGGCTGTAATATAATGAGCTATGCTATTGCCTATTGATAAGGGACGCATACAGAAAACTCTTTACATTTACATTTAAGTAATTTAGCAGACGCTCTTATCCAGAGCGACTTACAATTAGTGAGTGCATACATTTTTCATACTGGCCCCCCGTGGGAATCGAACCCACAACCCTGGCGTTGCAAGCGCCATGCTCTACCAACTGAGCTACAGGAGGCCTATTGTAATGAAAGTGAAATCTTGGTGTTTCATGAATGGTTGTCCTACTGGCTCTGGGCTATAATATATATCCTACTAAACGATAGCCTCTGTGTGTATGTGCGTGTGTGTGTGTACGTGTGAATGCAATGGACAGAGTGTCCCCTTCTCGGGTGGTTTGTGTGAATGAATGCGAGTGTAGTGGTGACTGGTGATAGAGGAGGAGCCAGATGGACCTCTTCCGCGTTTTCCTGGAGTTGTGTTCTCATTACTCAGGAGCCTACTTTGTCCTCGCACGTGTAGGTCTACGTTTCTATGTCTACCCCCCTCCCCGCCTTAGAAAAGAGAGAGAGGAGGAAAAAATAAAGTAAATTATACAACAATCCCCCGCCTCTTCTCCCCTACAGTAGACTACTTCTACAACATCTAAGCTACACTACCACTTCCTCATGTTCTGCGGCGCCGGGCTCCTACTGACGGGCTCCAGCCATGTCCGTAGAGAATTCAGCGGCCGGCGGCAATGACAGGACCGCGGACAAACGAACAGGTACCAGTAGACCTACTTGTACCGTGTTCAAGACAACTCGGAAACTCGTTCGGAAACTCGTAAGATGAGGTCCACGTTTCCCATTTGGAAAGTATCAGAATCAACCAATAGGAACCTCTACGCAAAAATCGTACCCACATTTTCACTCGGATGTTCTGATCTTTCCGAGTTGTCATGAAAGCATCACGTGTGAGGTCTAGTTTGTGAGGTGATAATAGCCTATTGCAGTCGATGCTATGTGCCGGGAGGAATTGAGGGGAGCTGTTTCCATGTCTTTCGCTTTGAAAACAATTCTGGTTCTCCCCAAAAATGTAGGTCAGTAGATCAGTGGAGCAAACGCACACTCGAGGAAGTCCTGGGATGCGCTCGTGGGAGTTTAATAATTTGTGGAATATTTGTGGCATTCTACCATTTAATTTCACAGGTATGAGTTGGCGTGATTTTATTAGAATTTGTGCATTGTGGAATTGTGTTTATGGTAAACCTGGTGTAAAACTATGCAGCTGCCTTTTCATAGGCGGTCAACAGATCTTCTGTTCATCCCTTTGGTATTTTGTAGGCTATTGTGTAGGCTATTATAAAATAAGATAATCAATTAAAATGGCACCAATCACGCATTTTATGCATGGCTTATGCTTGTACCATATCCTGTTCAGTCGGACGTATAGCCTAAACTGTATTTTAAATATGTGTGTTGGGTAGCCTAAAGTCATAGCTTAGCCTACATGTTTTCAGAGTTGTGAGTATCTTGATAGTATAATTAGAATGTATCGAGGCAGGTTTGTACTTTTGGCGACGAGAATTTCCCATGTCTAAACCATTCTGATGCATTGCCACATGTTTCGTAGACTGATCCCCATAACCCCATTGTGATTTTGGGATGCATGGTAAAATGTTAAAGAATATTACCAAGAAGTGGGTTATGAAACTGTTTCCAAATTTTCAAGGTGGGTGGGTGGATTTATTGGAATGCAGAATGGGAAATTGTTAGTTCGCTAACGTGCACGCTAGGCTAATATGCTGCATGCATGCTTAATAACACAATTTCCCATTCTGGAATTTGTCCATAACATCCAATAACGTAGGTGTTATGAATTTAGTTGAATATGGTCACCGAGGACGCTCCTTTGAAAATAATACCTATTTGTAGCATAAAACATTTGAAAAAAATGTATAGGCCTGCCTGACCCATTTTAATTGAGCCTATGCTACTTCAAGTAGGCTAGGCTAGCTGACATTTGGCCAATATTACCTTACAACTTGTTTAGGCTAATTAGTCCTATGTGTTCAGTTATTTTGTAAAACACCATAGCCTATAACTTCATATAACTCTTCAAAGCAAGCTGTACGTGAGCGTTTGGACGCTTATACAAGAGGTAGGCTGTAGGTCAATCAACACTTGGGAGTCTTTCTTCTCGCCACACGTCTTTACGCATTAACGTCACACACCAATAACATGTCCTGGGTTGGCTTATATAGGACTATAATTTGAAGTTAACAATATGAAATGCAAAAGGACTCTATCAGCAAATATGGTGTGAATTTCATTTATCAACATCAACATTATCCTTGTTGGGAGACTACAAACAGTCTTGCTCTGGACTGTGGCCCATGTCAAATATGTGGCAAACATTTTGACATTAGTTGACGATTATTAATGGTGTAGGTTTATCACTCAATTGCTGTAACAGTATTTATTTATTCCTGACCTTAATAATAATTGAAAAAACTTAAAGTACTACCAGACCTAAAGGTGTTCTAGGATGACAAACTGGAATCGATAAAGGGGATGGACAGAGAAAATAATGTATTACATAGCACTCAGTCAGGCAACCAATTGTTAAAACCATGTTGCCAACAACAAACTGTACTTCACCTGAATAGCATGGATTTCCCCATTACAAGATGTAATCCCTCTGTATTGTATATTGAATAAACCAAATGTATTCAGCTGTCAGCCCTCTTTCTTAATATTGTATCTCATCTCACGTATGCATGTGTTCAACTTGATATCGCCATTTTGCCTGGCCCCTAGTATTATTCAAAACCAGTGCAGAGGTTTGTAGGTGGGTGGGGGTGGGGGTGAATCCTGTGGGAGTGGGAGGGGAATGGTCCTCAGGTGAACTAGTCAGATTGGCCAATGTGACAGGTGTAGAATTGCCTCACTGTTGCCTTTCTTTTGTTGGCTTGAAAGACAGCCAAAGGATTGGATTTATTTTCTGATAATAAAAACAAGCTTCCTTAAATGAAGTGAAGTGTAAAGCTCAGATTCCTCTGAAAGAAAATGTGCAAACACAAGGAGGTATGATTAGCCATGAATGATTAACCCATAATTCATTCTAGGCTTTTACATGTAAGATTGATGAATATATTTGTGGAGGACAGCTTCACTGGAACCTCCCTTTTTCCATGAGGGGGAGATGAGAAAAAAAGTGCATATTGTAAACCTGGACACCAATAACTAGCCTATCGGGTGTCTACAATTTTCTACAAGTATAATATGGAATTTGAACAGAGAAGGATGTGTGTAATGTAAACAAGGGTACTTACACTAATTACTAGTTTATCAGGTGGCAAACTACCTACGTTTTTTCAGTGAATATAATAGGGAATCTGAACTCGGTTACTCACCACTCACCAATACTGCTTTAACTAGATACTGCCATAACATTATACTGCCTTAACTAGATTCTGCCATAACTAGATTCTGCCATAACGTCATACTGCCATAACTAGATACGGCCATACAGTGGTGGGAAAAGTACCCAATTGTCATACTTGAGTAAAAGTAAAGATACCTTAGAAAATTATTCAAGTAAAAGTGAAAGTCACCCAGTAAAATACTACTTGAGTAAAAGTCTAAAAGTATTTGTTTTTAAATATACTTAAGTATCAAAGGTAAAAGTATAAATAATTTCACATTCCTCATATTAAGCAAACCAGACGGCACAATTTTCTTGTTGTTTTAAATAGAAATAGTCAAGTAAAGTACAGATACCCCCCAAAAACGACTTAAGTAGTACTTTAAAGTATTTTTACTTAAGTACTTTACGCCACTGCTGCCATAACTATATACTGCCATAACATCATACTGCCTTATCTAGACACTGCCATAATGTCATACTGCTGTGCTGTCTAATCAATTTTTCGACATTCATGTTCTAGTTTTACCATAGACCCTATCGACACAATGGCTTTATAACAAACATAGAGGTGTAGTGAGTTCTTGTGTGAGAGCGACGGGTCAGTAGTGAGGGATAGGGGAGGGTGATTATGAGGCACCAGCACCTGAAGCACCAGCCACAGGAAGCTCATCTGATGAGGGAGAGTCCTTTTAAGGGTCTGTTTATATTGGCTGTGACTGCCAGGGTCTTCATCATTATCAGCTGAAGACCTGGACCAATGGAGTAGTGCGATCCTTACCACATTTATCCAGCCAGGAGAGAGCATCATCCATGGAAGGTTCAGCGGCTGCACTATCAAGCTCCAATGCAGAGGCTTCTCACTCCGTCACACAGGCCTCACTTGCCATACAGTCATCTCTTAGGAAGCCAGGACCAGAAGTGTAATCTTGTGTCTCATTCAAGGTGATTAAATTGACCTGGTTTCTGCACCACCCACTCATGTCCTGCACAACCAGAGATCTTGTTAATGTCTGGTTCCCAGTTGTCAGTGAGTTTGCGTTTCCCTCTGCATCTCCTATTAGCCACAATAATTGCATTAACATTTAAGAAGAATACTTTACAGTCCATTCTTTCTTTCAGAAAACAGAAATTGGTTCCAATCCCCCTGAGACACACACACCCTAAGGGGTCGGAAACACACTGAGCATTTAAGGGTTAACTGCCTTGCTCAAAGGCACAACGGCAGGAGATGACATGGAGAGAGGCTGGCCTAGCCAGGAAATGACTGCTGCGTATTTACCAGGGGTTGCTCTGGTCCCCTGATGAACTTTGATCTGAAGTGGGTCAACCAAACGGATGTGTAGCGCAACCATTTCCCTACATACCTACCTAATTGTATTTGATATGACATTATCTTCCCCTTTAGTTAGTTAATGCAAAATAGGGATCTCCACTTTATTTTTTATTTTTATTTTTTTCACCTTTATTTAACCAGGTAAGCCAGTTGAGAACAGGTTCTCATTTACAACTGCGACCTGGCCAAGATAAAGCAAAGTAGTGCAATAAAAACAACACAGAGTTACATATGGGGTAAAAAAAACATAAAGTCAGAAATACAACAGAAAATATATACAGTGTGTGCAAATGTAGCAAGTTATGGAGGTAAGGCAATAAATAGGCTATAGTGCAGAATAATTACAATAGTATTAACACTGGAATGCTAGATGTGCAAGAGATTATGTGCAAATAGAGATACTGGGGTGCAAAAGAGCAAAATAAATAACAATATAGGGATGAGGTAGTTGGGTGGGCTAATTTCAGATGGGCTGTGTACAGGTGCACTCTTCCCTTTACAATTGTGTTGGATTTTATTAAATGTATTATGTTGTTCTAATTTATAACACGTTTCAATTAATACATGTTAGTGTGTACCAAAGCATTCTAAATGTACCTCAACCCTGAGCTACTCTCTGTCTTAGTCAAACATCCAAAGCCACAATGTTTCTACTTTGATTGGGCAACAAACTTTGTCAGATTTGTCTTAACTATTTTAATGAAAATTGAAAAATAAATAAATGGAGATTAAAATAAAGTAATAACTGGCTAACCCTACATGATTGTACAACTTGGTAACTACAGAATTAGCTAAATTATAAAAATTACTACAATTTCTCTACCTGTGGAATATTTCCACCTGTTTTGATTTTATGCTACTACAGTTTCTCAATGCTTGGTGAGATGCCTGCAGAAAAAGGAAGAGCGGGAGGGCAGGGGTGGAGTATTTTGTGCATTCCACCTCTGTCAGAAATGACCCCCAAATTCCTAGAAATAGCCTAGGTTAGTTGATTATTCATTATTTGTAAGCATTTTTTTAGCATTAAAAGCATTAGAATCCCAAAATATCTTCCCCCCTTTCAACAATATTTCAAATAAAATGTCAACTCTTAAAGTATAATGGGAGTCATGTGCAGGAAGTAGGTCAATGTTACAGCATTATATAAGCAGTGAGGTAAGGCAATAGCAGAAACCATCACGTGCCACATGCTGGGGGGAAACTGGGAGAAAGCCAGTGGTTAGACGCCCTCTCATGGTGACTTGTACTAGGGACATGAAAACTCATCACGTGCTGCCTGACAGCGGGGAGAAACTGTCTGAGCCAGAGGTTGGTGTCTGCTAGGCTGATTTAGGTTGATGAGTTCATTCACCTCACCTGCCAGGCTTATAGCTTTCAAGATGATCAGTTACAAGCTGGAAGGTCATTTCCAGTTAGCTGAACTTAAAACTGATTTACACTGAGGAACATTTGTCAATAGGCATACAATGGAGAGTTTATTTATAGTCCTCTCAAGTGGATGTTAGTTAGTGCATACACACTTATCATGTGACTGATCAACACAATAACATTTATATTTATAAGATGTTTTACAATTATTTTTCTTTTGAAACTTTTTACACAATATTGAGTTACACTCCCAGGCACCTTGTAATTATACAAGGTTCCAACCATATGTATGGGTTGCTTGAAGTCAACATCCATTGAGTTGGTATTTGTGCCATCTTCTGGGCAAAGCAAGTAACTGCAAGCATCCATTCATTATTTTATTTTCTCAGTACTCAGTTGAGTGTTTCAATTGAGGATCGGGATATGTGAATGTCTTTCATAGAGGTTGTCAAAATTGGCAAATATAAAAATCAGAGGAATTAAACAAAACACCAACCCATTTAGTCTCTAGGCCTCCGTAAGGGTGTCAGTGCTACAATAATGCATCAATTTGACCGTGGAGGAATTACAAATTATGAGAAATCAAAACTAATGTGTCAGTTTTGTATGGTTCTTGTGCCCGTAGGAGAAAACAATAGCCCTCCTGTCTCTCGGCCTGACGTCATAACCCCACGCCTGGCAGGAGCCATGCCTCATGTCATAACCCCCCACCTGGCAGGAGCCATGCCAATCCAAGAGCTGCCTAGGAAACGGAAGGGGGATCTAGACAACAGGTAAGAGCAGAGAGATCTCACCTATCATAAAGTAGCATAAAAATAACAAAATTCTTATTTTTTTCTCTTACTCGGTGGACTTATATTTTCTGTTCTCTCTATGTCTTGCAGGGAAAATAGTGATACTCAAATGGAGGAGGAACAGAGCAGGTATTTGAAGATTCTTTAGAAATTATTTTTATTTCAGCACTAATCTTGGAAAGATCTCTCAGGGCCAGGCCAGGTGATTAAATTAATCATTTTAAATAATCATATATATTTCCCATTCCAATTCAGATCGGAAGACGATGATCAGCAGGTCAAAATGAAATGCTTCAGGTAAGAGCCTGGGCGTACATATTCATTTGGTATATTGAAAGGGAGTTAAAGGCCCAATGCAGCCGTTTTATCTCAATATCAAATCCTTTCTGGGTAACAATTCAGTACCTTTAAATCAAAATGGTAAAAAATAAACAAAAATAGCTTCTTAGCAAAAGCAGTTTCTCAAGCAAGAATTTTGCTAGGACTGTCTGGGAGTGGTCTGAGTGGGGAGGGGAAAACCAGCCGTTATTGGCAGAGCGGTTTGGAACTCTCTTTCTTATTGGTCTATCAACTAATTTACCAACAGGCAGGCCAAAACTCCATCCCACCAAAACAGGTTGAAATTTCAGGCGGTCATTTCAAACAGATCTTACTTACTGGCCAGGTCGCAGTTGTAAATGAGAACTTGTTCTCAACTGGCTTACCTGGTTAAATAAAGGTGAAATAAAAAAATAAAAAATAAAAAATAAAAGGGCATTATCATAATTTTCACAATTTCACAGTATTATTCCAACCTCATGGTGTGGAAATATATATAAAACACAGGAAAATCACATTTCTGACTCCACTGGCCCTTTAAAGTATGCTTTAGGCATATCCTCTCAAGTTCAGTAAAAAACAGGAGGATACTTTAATATTATAAATGACCTAATACTACACTCAGGTGTGTTTCTTGTGTGATTATTGGCACTCTGTGAAGCTGGTGGTACGATGCGAGCGACCACATCACCATAACGCCAATAATAACAATAGCACACACCCTCTCATGTGTTGTTGCTTTAATAAATGATATCATGCTGACTTGATAGCAACAAGCTTCACCTTGCCTCAGCCCGTAGTGAGATATGTGTGTGAGAGAGAAATACGTGTATTTGTGCCCTCACTCACAGGGAGCCACACAGCCAAATTGAAAAGCGGAGGAGGGACAAAATGAACACCCTTATCGATGAGTTGTCAGGCATAATTCCCTCCTGTAACCCCATGGCCAGAAAGCTTGACAAACTCACGGTGCTGCGAATGGCTGTGCACCACCTCAAAGCCCTGAAAGGTAGGCCTCATCATCCCAAAACTGCCCCTACAACACTGGCCCTACAACACGGTACACATCTCTTTAAGGTAGATCTCATAAAGCTACACTAATGCAGTTAGAGTCTTGGACACATGGTGGCTGCAAAATACACAGCTGTGCACAAATAGCTTGGTTAATTGCTGATTATATATATATATATATATATATTTAAACTCAGCAAAAAAAGAAACGTCCTCTCACTGTCAACTGCGTTTATTTTCAGCAAACTTAACATCTGTAAATATTTGTATGAACATAACAAGATTCAACAACTGGTGGCATTGTCATGCTGGAGGGTCATGTCAGGATGAGCCTGCAGGAAGGGTACCACATGAGGGAGGAGGATCTCTTCCCTGTAACGCATAGCGTTGAGATTGCCTGCAATGACAACAAGCTCAGTCCGATGATGCTGTGACACACCGCCCCAGACCATGACGGACCCTCCACCTCCAAATCAATCCCGCTCCAGAGTACAGGCCTCGGTGTAACGTTCATTCCTTCGACGATAACTGCGAATCCGACCATCACCCCTGGTGAGACAAAACCGCGACTCGTCAGTGAAGAGCACTTTTTGCCAGTCCTGTCTGGTCCAACGACGGTGGGTTTGTGCCCATAGGCGACGTTGTTGCCGGTGATGTCTGGTGAGGACCTGCCTTACAACAGGCCTACAAGCCCTCAGTCCAGCCTCTCTCAGCCTATTGCGGACAATCTGAGCACTGATGGAGGGATTGTGCGTTCTTGGTGTAACTCGGGCAGTTGTTGTTGCCATCCTTTACCTGTCCCGCAGGTGTGATGTTCGGATGTACCGATCCTGTGCAGGTGTTGTGACACGTGGTCTGCCACTGCGAGGACGATCAGCTGTCCGTCCTGTCTCCCTGTAGCGCTGTCTTAGGCGTCTCACAGTACGGACATTGAAATGTATTGCCCTGGCTACATCTGCAGTCCTCATGCCTCCTTGCAGCATGCCTAAGGCACGTTCACGCAGATGAGCAGGGACCCTTGGGCATCTTTCTTTTGGTGTTTTTCAGAGTCAGTAGACTGTGACCTTAATTGCCTACCGTCTGTAAGCTGTTAGTGTCTTAACGACCGTTCCACAGGTGCATGTTCATTAATTGTTTATGGTTCATTGAACAAGCATGGGAAACAGTGTTTAAACCCTTTACAATGAAGATCTGTGAAATTATTTGGATTTTTACTAATTATCTTTGAAAGACAGGGTCCTGAAAAAGGGGTTTATTTTTTTGCTGAGTTTATTATATATATATATATTGTTAATATTTATATATACTTTTAACTCAAGTTATGGTAGAAATATCAAGCTCCTAAGGGACAGGTACAACACAGACTAACAGCTCAGTGCTGTGTTCGTCTCCTCAGCAGGTGCCAGCAGCTCCTTTACTGACGTTAACTACAAACGCAAGCCTTCGTTTCTGCCTCAGGATGATCTCAAGCACCTGGTGCTCACGGTAGGCCGCCCTTCAATCTGTCTCAATCTCTTTCTCCAATCAACCAAGAGCAATCCCATTTGGTATTGTGGCAGCAGTCACAACAGTGGGGTAGGATTATGTGGTATGTCGATTTACAGTTTTTATGTGTTGGGTCTACTAGGCTCCAAAAATAGCTGAGAATTTTGGTATTAATATGGGAAATATAATATTAATTAATAATACATTCACCTTTATGATTACAATAATGAGGAAAAATCTACAATTGTGTGGTTTTTACTTTAAAAGTGCCGCATTTTATCCAAAGTTATGAGAGACTGGTGGACATGTTTCTCCTTCAGACTTTAAGTCTACACTTTATTTTAAGGACAGTACCTCAGGCATACCCTCTGGGTTTGCTACAGTATTTTTTCCATTCTGTCGCTAACTAATTTCACTCTGGGAAATCCCTATTAAAAACAGGATGTGTCAACGGCTCCAGTTCTTTCCCCTCGCTTGGAGTGTTCTGTTGTATAACCTTTGCCAGCTCTGATCTCCCACAAGTGTGCATGTTTGTCACACAGAGTCTGCCATTTTGGAGTAAACAGAGGGAGTGGATACACACTGATGGTTTCAAAATACTGTAGCAGTGTCAGTGTTTTCATGGATCCAGATTGAAATATATTGAGGTCGTGCCGTGTCTCTTTTTCCCAGGCTGCAGATGGGTTCCTGTTCGTGGTGAGTTGCGACAGGGGGAAGATCCTCTTTACCTCAGAATCCGTCTCCAAGTTCCTCAACTACAGTCGGGTCAGTGAACTGGTTATACTTAAGCAATAAGGCCCGAGGGGGTGTGGTATATGGCCAATATACCACGGCTAAGGACTGTTCTTAAGCACGACACAACGCGGATAATTACTACTTAATTCTAAATTGAGCTAATTATTGAGGTCACTATCACTCAATCCTATCTACAGTGGGGAAAAAAAAGTATTTAGTCAGCCACCAATTGTGCAAGTTCTCCCACTTAAAAAGATGAGAGAGGCCTGTAATTTTCATCATAGGTACACGTCAACTATGACAGACAAAATGAGAAAAGAAATCCAGAAAATCACATTGTAGGATTTTTAATGAATTTATTTGCAAATTATGGTGGAAAATAAGTATTTGGTCAATAACAAAAGTTTCTCAATACTTTGTTATATACCCTTTGTTGGCAATGACACAGGTCAAACGTTTTCTGTAAGTCTTCACAAGGTTTTCACACACTGTTGCTGGTATTTTGGCCCATTCCTCCATGCAGATCTCCTCTAGAGCAGTGATGTTTTGGGGCTGTCGCTGGGCAACACGGACTTTTAACTCCCTCCAAAGATTTTCTATGGGGTTGAGATCTGGAGACTGGCTAGGCCACTCCAGGACCTTGAAATGCTTCTTACGAAGCCACTCCTTCGTTGCCCGGGCGGTGTGTTTGGGATCATTGTCATGCTGAAAGACCCAGCCACGTTTCATCTTCAATGCCCTTGCTGATGGAAGGAGGTTTTCACTCAAAATCTCACGATACATGGCCCCATTCATTCTTTCCTTCACACGGATCAGTCGTCCTGGTCCCTTTGCAGAAAAACAGCCCCAAAGCATGATGTTTCCACCCCCACGCTTCACAGTAGGTATGGTGTTCTTTGGATGCAACTCATCATTCTTTGTCCTCCAAACACGACGAGTTGAGTTTTTACCAAAAACTTATATTTTGGTTTCATCTGACCATATGACATTCTCCCAATCCTCTTCTGGATCATCCAAATGCACTCTAGCAAACTTCAGACGGGCCTGGACATGTACTGGCTTAAGCAGGGGGACACGTCTGGCACTGCAGGATTTGAGTCCCTGGCGGCGTAGTGTGTTACTGATGGTAGGCTTTGTTACTTTGGTCCCAGCTCTCTGCAGGTCATTCACTAGGTCCCCCCGTGTGGTTCTGGGATTTTTGCTCACTGTTCTTGTGATCATTTTGACCCCACGGGGGTGAGATCTTGCGTGGAGCCCCAGATCGAGGGAGATTATCAGTGGTCTTGTATGTCTTCCATTTCCTAATAATTGCTCCCACAGTTGATTTCTCTTCAAACCAAGCTGCTTACCTATTGCAGATTCAGTCTTCCCAGCCTGGTGCAGGTCTACAATTTTGTTTCTGGTGTCCTTTGACAGCTCTTTGGTCTTGGCCATAGTGGAGTTTGGAGTGTGACTGTTTGAGGTTGTGGACAGATGTCTTTTATACTGATAACAAGTTCAAACAGGTGCCATTAATACAGGTAACGAGTGGAGGACAGAGGAGCCTCTTAAAGAAGAAGTTACAGGTCTGTGAGAGCCAGAAATCTTGCTTGTTTGTAGGTGACCAAATACTTATCCACCATAATTTGCAAATAAATAAATTAAAAATCCTTCAATGTGATCTTCTGGATTTTTTTTCCTCAATTTGTCTGTCATAGTTGACGTGTACCTATGATGAAAATTACAGGCCTCTCTCGTCTTTTTAAGTGGGAGAACTTGCACAATTGGTGGCTGACTAAATACTTTTTTCCCCCACTGTATTATCCACTTAAATACTCTCAATGACAACTTTAGGAAGAGTCCATTACTTAACAGTGCTATCCCATTCATTTAGTTCCATGGTTCGGTTTTCTTTGGCCATTTGTAACAGGCACCCCATGCCCCTACCACTCCCACTGATTTTTAGCTAGCGGTGTTTGTAGTGGCTGTCTAAAGAAAACCGAGCCATGGATTATATTTTCTCCTGGCCCATAGACTACTTACAGGGTGAGGAACTATCTAACATTAAATTGTAAAATACTAAATTCCCCTTTAATACCTTGTAATTTCTGTACCATAGTAAAGTTATACCTGAAACTGTTTCATGCTTTATGTTGTGGAGGTTTAACCAGAAAGTTCAGGTGGTTCTGAAGTGGGGATCTGAATCAGTTGTTTAGTATAGTTGGCTAGCTAGCTAGCTCACACAAGATTTGGTTTCAGGTTCGGAGATGATTAGTTTGGTTCTGATAATTAAAGTACTGTTTTTGTTTACAGTTGGAACTAATTGGACAGAGTCTTTTTGATTATGTCCACCCGAAGGACATTAGTAAAGTGAAAGAGCAGCTGTCAGCCTCAGGATTATACCCTCGCGAACGGCTCATAGATGCCAAAAGTAAGTCTGCAAAGACTTTATTTAAATGTATCTGTTGCTGGGATTTTCCTATCTTATTTCTCTCTGTGTTTTGTTTTGTTTGTGTCTTGTTGAAATGCAGTTTAAGCTATGTCACCACTATAACGGTATTACTTTAAAGAAAGCTACAGCTTGTATCTCAGTTCTATTAGCACAGGGGAAAGAGCAGAGAGCCTAGGTTCTGTTTGTTGTTGCTTTACTGGTTTCCACTTTGACCTCGTTCTCTTTTGAGGTCACAGATTTTTACTTTTTAGGTTCCGTCTTCAATGTTACGTTGTGTTTAAAAAATATATTATAAATATAATGTGATGTTGTTGGATCATAGGCTCTCCCGGGTTCTTTTGCAGGGTTACAGGTACAGGACCTTCCTGTGGGAGCAGTTCAGCTGTGTACAGGGGCACGGCGCTCCTTCTTCTGCCGCATGAAGCACAGCAGAACAGTTATGAAGACAGAAGACAAAACCATCCAGCCCAGCAGCTCCAAGAACAAGGGTGAGAGAGCCATGCAGATAGAACTTTCACAAAATACATCGTAAGAGCAGAGAGGAACGTGGTGGTCATCAACCCAGAAGCACAATTTTTTTTTTTTGATTCCACCTCACTGAGGTAGTTGGTTAGCCCTGATAGGGCCATGATTGGAATTGCATGTGGGGGTTAAATGTAAACACGTGTTTTATGTGCACTGTCTACCCCTGTAGAGTCTCAACGATACTGCACTGTCCATTGCACTGGTTACATGCGGAGTTGGCCCTCCACCCAGCTGGATGCTGAGAGCGACGATAACGAGTTCTCCCAACTGTCCTGCCTGGTCGCTGTGTGCCGCGTTCACCCTAACAATGCCTGTCAGCCCTCACGTGAGGTCAAGGTCAAACCCACCCAGTTTGTCACTCGCTTTGCAATTGACGGCAAGTTCACCTTCGTGGACCAACAGTAAGTGGTGTCTAATACACAACCCTTTTTGCGATTTTCTCTCATTATTAAATATTCTTGGCAGGTGTTGGTGTAATGTTGAACCAATACTGTTCATAAGGGGGCATTGTGGGCAAAGCCTTCACCTGGTGAAAAACACTGGGAGGAAAATAAAACCGAATCTATACCCTGTGAAAGTAACCACCCCTTTCGCTTTACTTCTGGATCAAGTCCGCTAATCTTTTGAACGGGCTTCACGGTTATATAATCAAATTCGTAATATATATACAGTGGGGGAAAAAAGTATTTAGTCAGCCACCAATTGTGCATGTTCTCCCACTTAAAAAGATGAGAGAGGCCTGTAATTTTCATCATAGGTACACGTCAACTATGACAGACAAAATGAGAAAAAAAAATCCAGAAAATCACATTGTAGGATTTTTAATGAATTTATTTGCAAATTATGGTGGAAAATAAGTATTTGGTCAATAACAAAAGTTTTTCAATACTTTGTTATATACCCTTTGTTGGCAATGACACAGGTCAAACGTTTTCTGTAAGTCTTCACAAGGTTTTCACACACTGTTGCTGGTATTTTGGCCCATTCCTCCATGCAGATCTCTTCTAGAGCAGTGATGTTTTGGGGCTGTCGCTGGGCAACACAGACTTTCAACTCCCTCCAAAGATTTTCTATTGGGTTGAGATCTGGAGACTGGCTAGGCCACTCCAGGACCTTGAAATGCTTCTTACGAAGCCACTCCTTCGTTGCCCGGGCGGTGTGTTTGGGATCATTGTCATGCTGAAAGACCCAGCCACGTTTCATCTTCAATGCCCTTGCTGATGGAAGGAGGTTTTCACTCAAAATCTCACGATACATGGCCCCAGTCATTCTTTCCTTTACACGGATCAGTCGTCCTGGTCCCTTTGCAGAAAAACAGCCCCAAAGCATGATGTTTCCACCCCCATGCTTCACAGTAGGTATGGTGTTCTTTGGATGCAACTCAGCATTCTTTGTCCTCCAAACACGACGAGTTGAGTTTTTACCAAAAAGTTCTATTTTGGTTTAATCTGACCATATGACATTCTCCCAATCCTCTTCTGGATCATCCAAATGCACTCTAGCAAACTTCAGATGGGCCTGGACATGTACTGGCTTAAGCAGGGGGACACGTCTGGCACTGCAGGATTTGAGTCCCTGGCGGCGTAGTGTGTTACTGATGGTAGGCTTTGTTACTTTGGTCCCAGCTCTCTACAGGTCATTCACTAGGTCCCCCCGTGTGGTTCTGGGATTTTTGCTCACCGTTCTTGTGATCATTTTGACCCCACGGGGTGAGCCCCAGATCGAGGGAGATTATCAGTGGTCTTGTATGTCTTCCATTTCCTAATAATTGCTCCCACCGTTGATTTCTTCAAACCAAGCTGCTTACCTATTGCAGATTCAGTCTTCCCAGCCTGGTGCAGGTCTACAATTTTGTTTCTGGTGTCCTTTGACAGCTCTTTGGTCTTAGCCATAGTGGAGTTTGGAGTGTGACTGTTTGAGGTTGTGGACAGGTGTCTTTTATACTGATAACAAGTTCAAACAGGTGCCATTAATACAGGTAACGAGTGGAGGACAGAGGAGCCTCTTAAAGAAGAAGTTACAGGTCTGTGAGAGCCAGAAATCTTGCTTGTTTGTAGGTGACCAAATACTTATTTTCCACCATAATTTGCAAATAAATTCATTAAAAATCCTACGATGTGATTTTCTAGATTTTTTTTCTCAATTTGTCTGTCATAGTTGACGTGTACCTATGATGAAAATTACAGGCCTCTCTCATCTTTTTAAGTGGGAGAACTTACACAATTGGTGGCTGACTAAATACTTTTTCCCCCCACTGTATATACAATTACATTCGCTTTTACAGAGTTTTTGTCCATTGAAGACCATTCAAAAAACCTACAAAAGTTTTTAAAAACTACAATGCTGAGGGGCAGTCACTTCCTGGTAACTTTCATAGCGTATTGTTCTCAGAGTTTTGTTCAGATTTGATCTCTTTCAGCTGAGTTGAGTATGTTTTGATACATACTGTAATGTTAGCCAAGGCTACGGTAAGTTAAAATGGCCTTGGCTAACATTACAGTTATACCCTGGGTAACCCAACCTGTGCTTGTATTAACAGCCAAAGAAAGAAACAAATAAAGAGAAAAGCAATGACGTTGGTTAAGGCAGGCCTGGCAGGCAGTCATCTTGGATAGGGTTTGCCATGGCACCCCCTACCATACCACAGTGGCTGTAAGTGTAATGGGGTTACCCCAAGTTTTCCAGCAACTGGTCCGAATGCATTCCAAATGAGACAATATACCCCTTGAAGAGATGACTGTACTGATTATTTCAAGAGATGGCAACAGTACATTACTGGTACTATTGGTTTGAAATATTGATAATAACTTTGCTAACTAGTGAGTTGAAAAATGTTTACTTGGAACATTGTGTTGGAAATATTCTTTTTTTTATATAGTAAGCATGTCAAGATAAATACCTTTTTACTTATCGGTTGTCAAATAGGCAGCTCCATTTCACAACAGGAGCCCTTTCACGTATGTGAATTTGTTATTGTGACCCAGGCTGTCCAAAAATGTTACACTGGTGGTGAGATCTTCTGACTAACAGCAGAGAGTGCATTGAACGCGTCAGTCCAATTTGATTAAGTAAGATTGAGTAAGTAGTTCTATTTTTGTTGCTTTTGAGTGAGATTCTTTCTACTTTGGTATTTGATCCCAATTCAGAGAACAAGAACCCAGTACACTTTACTGTGGTCAGATGTTTGACAACCATTCCATTTACTCTTTTCCATAGAAACAGAAAGGCTGCATCATGTATATTGATGGTTATAGTTAGTATTTATTGTGCCATTCTGAAATGATGTACATAGTTAGAGCTGGTAAGTGGACAGAAGATATCAACCTGGTACTATAGTTGGTTTATAGAGAATAACAGCCTCCTTGTCTCTGTCCTTCAGAGCCACTACTGTTCTGGGCTACTTGCCACAGGAACTACTGGGGACGTCGTGTTATGAGTACTTCCACCAGGACGACCTGCAACAACTTGCAGAGACACACAGGAAAGGTAATGGAGAATAGTTTGGTTGTCTTTGGTATCTACTTATACAGTGGGTAAAAAAAGTATTTAGTCAGCCACCAATTGTGCAAGTTCTCCCACTTAAAAAGATGAGAGAGGCCTGTAATTTTCATCATAGGTACACGTCAACTATGACAGACAAATTGAGATTTTTTTTCTCCAGAAAATCACATTATAGGATTTTTTATGAATTTATTTGCAAATTATGGTGGAAAATAAGTATTTGGTCACCTACAAACAAGCAAGATTTCTGGCTCTCACAGACCTGTAACTTCTTCTTTAAGAGGCTCCACTATGGCCAAGACCAAAGAGCTGTCAAAGGACACCAGAAACAAAATTGTAGACCTGCACCAGGCTGGGAAGACTGAATCTGCAATAGGTAAGCAGCTTGGTTTGAAGAAATCAACTGTGGGAGCAATTATTAGGAAATGGAAGACATACAAGACCACTGATAATCTCCCTCGATCTGGGGCTCCACGCAAGATCTCACCCCGTGGGGTCAAAATTAGCATAAATCCCAGAACCACACGGGGGAACCTAGTGAATGACCTGCAGAGAGCTGGGACCAAAGTAACAAAGCCTACCATCAGTAACACACTACGCCGCCAGGGACTCAAATCCTGCAGTGCAAGACGTGTCCCCCTGCTTAAGCCAGTACATGTCCAGGCCCGTCTGAAGTTTGCTAGAGTGCATTTGGATGATCCAGAAGAGGATTGGGAGAATGTCATATGGTCAGATGAAACCAAAATAGAACTTTTTGGTAAAAACTCAACTCGTCGTGTTTGGAGGACAAAGAATGCTGAGTTGCATCCAAAGAACACCATACCTACTGTGAAGCATGGGGGTGGAAACATCATGCTTTGGGGCTGTTTTTCTGCAAAGGGACCAGGACGACTGATCCGTGTAAAGGAAAGAATGAATGGGGCCATGTATCGTGAGATTTTGAGTGAAAACCTCCTTCCATCAGCAAGGGCATTGAAGATGAAACGTGGCTGGGTCTTTCAGCATGACAATGATCCCAAACACACCGCCCGGGCAACGAAGGAGTGGCTTCGTAAGAAGCATTTCAAGGTCCTGGAGTGGCCTAGCCAGTCTCCAGATCTCAACCCCATAGAAAATCTTTGGAGGGAGTTAAAAGTCCGTGTTGCCCAGCGACAGCCCCAAAACAGCACTGCTCTAGAGGAGATCTGCATGGAGGAATGGGCCAAAATACCAGCAACAGTGTGTGAAAACCTTGTGAAGACTTACAGAAAACGTTTGACCTGTGTCATTGCCAACAAAGGGTATATAACAAGGTATTGAGAAACTTTTGTTATTGACCAAATACTTATTTTCCACCATAATTTGCAAATAAATTCATAAAAAATCCTACAATGTGATTTTCTGGATTTTTTCCCCTCATTTTGTCTGTCATAGTTGACGTGTACCTATGATGAAAATTACAGGCCTCTCTCATCTTTGTAAGTGGGAGAACTTGCACAATTGGTGGCTGACTAAATACTTTTTTCCCCCACTGTAGGTGAGAACCATATGTTCTCCAAATGTGCAGGTTGCTCAAACAGATATGAAAGATATTTTGGTTGCAGAAAATTACCAGGTTCTTACTTATGTTGCATGGTAAAATGGTAATTACTAGGGCTGTGGCGGTCATGACATTTTGTCAGCCAGTGATTGTCAAGCAAATAACTGCAGGTCTCACGGTAATTGACCGTTAATTAACATAAACATATTTATCATCTCCTGGCTTCCACACATAGCCTGCAAGCCACTGATGCAGACCTTTGGAACATCTACATTTAAAAAAGTCTAATAAATCCATGTAATATAGCCTACACCATCACAATAAATCCATTATTTAATTAAGACAGGTCTAAAGAAACATTATATAAGAAAATGTAGTCTATTTCAGAAGAACAGAATATCATACACTGAGTTGTCCTTACAAGCATTTCGCTACACCCGCAATAACATCTGCTAAATATGTGTATGTGACCAATACAATTTGATTTGATTTGATGTTAGGTCCTTATCTGGCTATGCCATATGGCTGTGGGCTACACTAGTTCATTTAGCAGACAAGATTTGCTTAGAATTCCATGGCATTATTTTATATTATTTTATAGTATGAAGAATACAATTGAACATAGCTGAATAAAATATAAATCATATTTTCTCCAAACGATTTGAGGGAGTGCAAACATGCGGCTATTCTGTGTTGAGAGGTTAACAAAGAAACAGGTACTCATATATGCTTAATTTAGAGTTATTTATGTAACTTTAGTTGTGATACAAATGTTGGGTTATATGTTTTGATTTTTTATATATTCTAAGGCTGTACACACTTCATCAGTCTCTCATTCACAATTTGACAAGCACTTGATAATGCCTCGAATTTACTGGCTGCATCCCCTTGTGTGGCTTTAATACCCCCTAAAAAAATCCTTGCCTTTTTCGGCCAGTGGCCATTGTGCCCTTGGGTTGAATATAATAATTATAATTCCCTTCTCCCGGCTGCGTGCCGAAGCACCTCTCACTCACATGGAAGCACCGCTCACTCATATGGCTCTCTGTCATGTGATCGGGTCTTTCTCACAGGCTACAAGTGAAGACAGACACATTGGGGACGCAACTGCGCGCGTTTTTTTCCAATTTCGAGGCGCATATTGAAGATATTGGAAGAACTGTCCACTTTTCGTCAGCTGACAAGATGAGTAGGCCTAACGAACAGCAAAAGCACTAGCCTATGTCAATCTACTACCCCCCATAGTACAAAAGTTGAGCTATTCTATTCTGTGAGAGAAATAAATATTCCAAACATAGTCTGGGACATTTGTGGGATGCGAAAGATCCCAAATTAATACAACCACTAGCATAAAAAAACCTGTTTTAAGCAAGGAGCCTGATGCATCAGATGAGAACGTTTAGCTTAAAATGCTGATGAACTATTAGGCTATTTCTTCACATTATAAGTGCAGCAATGCACACACGGCAGTAGGCTATAAGCGCAAATGTTTCATTAGCAGGAAAACACCATTCTCAAAAGTGACCACAAATGTGATTATGCATGTAATGCTTTTATTATAAAGGTGCATTTTTATGGTGGAAATTATCTTCCTCAAACTTGAAACTCACGCGCTGCGTATGTATGCCAGTTAGGCTCTACACCTGTGCTTCATTTTAAGAAGTTATTTGGCCACTTTAGTTGTGATACAAACCTTATCAAAACATATAGGCCTACGGGCTAGGCTACATGATGTGTGGGACTATGATTTGAAAAAGTTGCAAAAAAAGCATGCGCTGTTTCTTGCCTTAAGCTTGGCATCATTCACAAGTGATAGGCTAATATTGTCACCCATCACACTATTCTTGATTTAATCTTGTCTTTACATATATAAAATAATATATGTGTGAAATTTGTTATGATTTAAAATTGACCATTATCATTCACCTGTCTCGAAACAGGGGCAGCGGAAAAAAATACATGTCATCTATGCACTTAAATAGCGAATGGAGGACGCTTTTCCTGTGGTTCATTTTCATGCCAGCCAGGTAGGCTATACTCCTGTTGCAAAGAGAAGCAATGTGCTTAATATTAGAAAGCTGAGAAATAACTATAGTAGGCCTAGCCTATAGAAAGCTGATGGGTTCATCCTCTTTTTAGTAGAGGCCATCACTCTGTGTGATTAGATTTTCGATGACGTTTGCATTGATGTCAGAGTGATTAGAGGGACAATAGAGTGCTGAGTACCAGGCAGTTAGCAAGTTTGGTAGGCTACTAATGACCATCAGCAGCATCAGAGCTTGGAGAGGCCTAATTACTGTGACTAAACGGTCACGTGGAATTTGACTGCCTTCATGACTCGTGACCGCCGGTGTGGCGGTAATACGGTCACCGTAACAGCCCTAGTAATTACACCATAATAACCGATGCTTACTTGTTTTTTATTGCGGGGGGGATTCATGAATAAAACTAGCACATTGCAGTGACAGAAATTGTGTTTTGTGTCTCAACAGTTCTCAGCAGTAAAGAGAAGATTGAGACCAGCTGCTACAAGTTCAAAACAAAACATGGCTCCTTCGTCATGCTTCAAAGTCAGTGGTTTAGTTTTATAAACCCGTGGACCAAAGAAGTGGAGTTTATTGTGTCATCCAACCGAGTTTTGTGAGTGCCTTTTCACATTCGGTCTAGATTGTGGGTTGAACGATCTATAATGATATTCAGTAAAATACATTTAATTTAATAATCTGCTTTGAGTCAAGACACAAGTTCAGTCAAAAGTGTCCCATTTTGGTCCCAAAATGTAGCTGTTGTTCGAGAGTCCTCTGCGTTATACTAATGACATCATACAAGGGATGTACAATCATTTGTCGTCTGTTCCCTCTCCACACACAGGGGACCCGGTCACACAGAAGCTGAACAGCCGAGTAGCTCCAAGCTGTCGGAGGGTAAGGAAAGGAATATTTGTCATTTTGGATATAACTAAGTTTGGGTGTGTGGACCGAACTTAGCTCACTGTCCTGACCCCTCCCTCTGTTACAGAAGATTGCAAACGTACCATCCTTATCCCTGGCATCTCCAGTGGCATGGCCACTATGATCTACGCTGGTAGCATAGGGACCCAGATAGCAAACGAGCTCTTGGACTCCAACAGGTGTGTTGCATGTATTATGGCATTGTTTTACAATGCAATAAATGCACCGATCTTGGATGTTGATTGGTCTCCACGTAGGCAACAGCATGACCCATAATGCTGTGGTGGCAATGGTTTGATTATTAAAACCATTTTCACTGAAGGGTTCTGTCAGAGCTTTCTTTGGCAACCAGGAGGAAGCTGGTACTTGTAGTCGGCTTACATTGTTATTTTGTTTTATTGGCCCATGACCTTGAACATTTTGTTACATTAGTTCTGCTTTCTTTCACCGCCAAAATGTCACTGTTTCATAGACGATGTCTTTGTGTCTGTGCAGGGTCAACTGTTCTCCATCCAGTGGAACCTCCAGTCCCTTCTGTCCACCTCAGGACAGGTCTCCAAAGGTCTCCTCTCATGCCAATGTGAGTCATGTTACCTACCTCCCCTCTCATCCTACAGTGTCTTTAGGACCCTAGGTAGTAGTTGCATGTTGACTATAAAACTTTTTAAAACACTTTTTCAAAACTATTTTCATTACGGCATAAAGGGAGAGAGTATAATGTTTTTTTACATGCAGATTGCAACCATAACCACTGGAGGTCTCCCTATGAACACATGCCTTGCGTAGATAAACAATTTTAAGCTGAATGTAATGTTTTGATGTACTTTAACTTATCAATTACCAGGGTAAATATTACCCCTCATATTAGGTGCGCTTGAAGAGTTTTGTAAATGGAACTTTGTATATAAAAATCTGGAGAAAAACTGTTCTGTATTATTATGTACCCACTTGTCCTCTTGCAGATGCCAAATGAGGAGGTGACTGACTCAGATACAGTGAGCAAGTCTGGATCAGAGTCTGCTTCAAAGGGGGCCACATACGCTGGCAGCGACACACATATGGACACAGGTAGTTACCATTCAAAAGCATATACAAAGTAAACTTAGAAGCAATGCATTTACATGATCTTTAATTTACCTAGACTGTTATCAATCAGACAGTTTTAAGTGTATATTTGGGTTACTTAGTTATACTTAGAGTTTATACTTGGTTAGCATACGACTGACATAACTTTGAGTATTGGTTGATTTTGATGACAGCCCGTTCTCCTCCCCCAGGAGAGAGCTCCCAGATGGACCTGGACAGCATGGTGGGACCAGGCCTCGGTACCCTGAGCAACGATGAGGCTGCCATGGCCGTCATCATGAGCCTGCTGGAGACTGATGCCAACCTGGGGGACGCAGTAGACTTTGACAACATGCACTGGTCTCACTAGCAGAGATTCAAATGCCATCAATTCAGGAGAATAATTGAGATTCCAATTCAATAATTGAAAAATGATATTTATTCTTACGTACATTACTTCATTTATTTATTTAAGCATTTTCAAAGAGGATTTCATTCAATTCCTGAATTGGGATTTCAATTCACTTCCAGAATTGAAATGGAATTGACCCCCAACACCATCAGTCCTAAACTCTGTAGTTTATGGTTAGACTAGCTCCATCCAGGGACTATTTTTGTGTGCGCCGCTATCAAGGAAACAGATTGATGTGCTTCTGAGGGACTTCTACGGCTCGGCTCTCTGTTCATGTTTCAGGAAGAGATATCCAGCCTGGGCTAAAACCAGTAAACGCTTTGGTGGCTTACACAGCTGTTTCAAGTTTGTTGTGGATTTTTTTGATCAATGTTTCAATGTAACTGAATGTGTACTAAAACCACCCTTGTTTGCCTATATCTGGGGGGTCACAGATCGATAGCAGTTTGGTACTCTTGGGGTTCCCGCCGGTGTGAAAGTGATCAACTCAAATTCCAAGGGAGTAGACGGCGACATATGTTAATCAATTGCAAAGTATATGAATTCTGAACACTGATCACTTGTGTGAATAACTTGAAATGAAACATTGCAACTGTGTCTTCACTCAAATTGTCATTGTCTATTATTACAAAGTCAAATTGTATATTCTGTCTTTTTACTCTTGCATTGTAGGCTTTCGTATAGGTGAATCAATATTGCTGCCATGTCTATTGCATAGACAGCAGCATAACTTTTTCTGAAGTCACACAGAGGTAGAGCTGCTTCTCTTGAAATGTTTTTATTTACACTGAAACAGAACACCCTGAAGGTGCACCTGCAGGGATGTAATGGAGGCTAAATGCACAAACACCTTTTTATTGTGCGAAAAGCATTTACGCATTTATTATGCAACGTCTGCGTTGTTAGCAATAGCGTATGCATTGCCTATCCTAGAGGACCACAATGGAAATAAGCTCTCAGGCTTTATTGTGTTTTGTCCTCAATGGTTTTAAATGTAATTTATAATGATAAAATAAAATACTCACTGCCCGTCATCACGACCAGCGTTCAGCGCTTACCCTCTTTAATCCTTTACCACTACATCCCTGTGCATCTGCCTTATACAAACACATCCTAGTGTGTTTGAAATGTGGAGGTGTGAAACTAATCCAGACAAGGAAAACGATGCTTGCAAACAACCATTTGATCCTCGCTTTAGCAAACTATTGTGAAAGCCTCTTTAGTCCCAGAACCAATCTCAATACCATGTCTGCTTTTGCTATGAACAGAGCATTACTTTCTCTCTGTGTGAAGTTTGCACACCTTCGAAATACTTAAAATCCAAGTGCTTGAAAGTAAATGAAGTCTCTATTGCTGGAATTCAATCTAAATGCACTGCATTTTGTTCTGCAATTGTGATTACCACTTGAGGGACAAAAATGAGAAATATCAGTGAATCCGTAAAGACTTGAATTGTAATGCCTGTGTGCACTCCTGCAGTGTTGATTTTTATGACATGTTTTGGGTGAGGGAAGATCATGGCTTCATGTGCATAGAATCAAGTAATCTGGTACAGAAAAGCAAATTAATAGGCTGCATGTCACACTTTGATATTCTTTGGCTCTGACCAGTGCATCAATGCAATGCAATTAAACATTAAAAACAAATCTGAACCCATTAAGTTGAATTTGAAACGTATGTTTTTATCTTGAAAGTTTGTAAACGTCATTTATAGGCATTGCTTAAATATTGAAAATCTGGAAACTGCATTTCAACTCTGAATTTGAATAATAAAAAGATATGTATGTGAATGCAATAGTTATCAAGTTTAATTGACGCTAGAAGTACCATGGTCCCGACACTACCCTCTTCCTTTAGAAAGTGAGGCCCTCTGCTTCACTCTCACAAGTCCCTTGTGCCCGTACTGATGGGAAATAATTTTTATGACCTTTATGACCTCCCGCTATCCCACTTCTGACACCCAATGTAGTAAATTCAGGGAGTACCGACCAAGACTCGATCCCAGTGTCACGGTTCAGACAGACGACCAGAGGACCACAATTGCGTCACACCAGAAAGTTTATTAAAACTTAAGGGAAAAGGGAAGTAGGGAGTGAATGAAGGCTCCAGGGGTAACAGGGATCCCGTCCAATGTGCTGGGTCTGTGCCCCCCCCAGTGGCAGCGATGCGTCCTATGAAGCCGGTGGTGGGTGGTCCAGAAGTCCTGGGGGGGGGAGACACAGACACAACAGGGCGGAATGAAACAAGGCAGCAGTACAGTTCAAGGGAAATCCAAAATACGTAGTAGCAAGGCAGAAGGCTGGTCAGAGTTACCGGGATTGAAGAGAAGTCAGGAGTCGTTATGGCAGAAGCAGGTCTGGATCTCCTGGGGCAGAAGAGTATCCAAAAATTCAGGCAGGTCCGGGGTCACAAAACCAGGGTGAGCCAGAAGCGCGAGCAAACAGGTTCCGGGTGTGAGCTTTGCAGACGATCTGACACCGGAGAGCTGAAAGACAGGGCCTTAAATACTGGGAGAGGTAGTGGGTAATGCAGCGCAGCTGGCAGAGTAATTAGAGCAGAGCAGAGCAGGGACAGGTGGAGCTAGTTAGGCTGAGTAGAGAGAGTGGTGAGCAGAGTGGAAGAAAATTAAGGTGGTAACCCGGTGGAGTGAGAGGCTCATGACAGAACCCCCCCCCCAAGGGACGGCCCCAGAAGTCCCAAGAGCAACACCACGCCGGGCGGGAGGAGGGGAGCCGGAGGAGGGCTAGAACTCCTCCGAACGGTCCGAGTGAACGTCCTCATCCTCGGAGGAAGCCGGAGGGCCGTGGTCGGGAGATGGGACAGGTCCCGAGACAGGATCAGGCACAGGACAGGAAGCCGAGCGGGCAGGACGGTTAGGGACCCCTCTGGGGCGGCCCCTACGGATTGCAGGTTGATCAGGATGCCGTTGGTGGAAAGCGGTGATGAGAGTCCTATCCACAATCCGACTAGCTGGCACCCAGGTCCTTTCCTCAGGTCCATAGCCCTCCCAGTCAATGAGGTACTGGAGACCCCTACCCCTCCGTCTGGACCGAAGCAGGCGGCGGACGGTGTAAACCAGACCACCATCGACGAGCCGTGGAGGAGGAGGACAAGGCGCAGCAGGGACCAGCGGACTCTCATGGATGGGCTTAATCTTAGACACATGGAAAGTGGGGTGCACCCTCAGGGAATTAGGCAGTTGGAGCCGGACAGCAGTTGGGCTAATCACTCTTATGATAGGGAATGGGCCAATGAACCGAGGTGCCAGCTTCTGCGACTCCACCCTGAGTGGCAGGTTCTTCGATGACAACCACACCCTTTGACCAACATGGTAGGTGGGAGCAGGAATTCTCCGACGGTTGGCCCCGGTAGTGTAGCTGGCAACGGATCTGAGGAGTGTGGCTCGGGCTTGTGACCAGGTGCGGCGACATCGACGGGCAAAAGCAAGTGCAGATGGGCAAGTAACCTCCTCTTCCTGGCTGGCAAATAGAGGAGGCTGGTATCCATAAACACATTGGAAAGGGGACATACCGATGGCAGAGCAGATCAGAGAATTGTGTGCGTACTCCACCCATGTCAATTGCTGCGACCAGGAGTGGGGGTTGCGTGAAGTCATGCATCGCAGTGCCTTCTCGAGCTCCTGATTAGCCCGCTCTGACTGCCCATTGGATTGGGGATGGAATCCGGAAGTCAGACTGACTGTGGCTCCCAGCAGGTGACAGAACTCCTTCCAAAAAGCGGAGGAGAATTGTGGACCACGGTCAGAAACTACATCCTTTGGCAGTCCGTGGATCCGGAAGACGTGTTCCAGGACCACCTGGGCGGTCTCCTTGGCGGTTGGGAGCTTGGGGAGGGGAATGAAGTGTGCCATCTTGCTGAAACGGTCAACTATGGTGAGAATGACGGTCATGCCCCTTGAAGGGGGCAGCCCCGTGACAAAGTCAAGGGCGATGTGAGACCAGGGACGTCTGGGCACAGGCAGGGGCTGCAGCAATCCGGCTGGGGGCTGGCAGGACGACTTGTGTTGGTTGCAGATGGGGCAGGCTTGGACGAATTCCCGTACATCCTTTCTCAGAGAGGGCCACCAGAACCTCTGGGCGAGCAGGTTGTAAGTGCGGGTGGAGCCAGGGTGACAAGCTAGGCGGGAGTCATGTCCCCACTGAACGACCTGGGACCTCAGGTCTTCGGGGACAAAAAGGCGGTCAGCTGGGCAAGTGCTGGGACCTGGCTGGTTACGGAGAGCCTCCAGCACCTGTTCCTCAACAGCCCAGGTCAGAGCTGCAACGATGCAGGGACTTGGCAGAATCGACACAGGGTCCTTGGAGGGGGTGTCATCCTTCTGGAATTGACGGGAGAGGGCGTCTGGCTTGGTGTTACGTGATCCAGGCCGGTATGACAGAGTGAAATTAAACCTGGTGAAGAACAGGGCCCAGCGGGACTGCCTGGAGTTCAACCGTTTGGCCGTGCGGATGTACTCCAAGTTCTTATGATCGGTCCAAACGAGAAATGGAATGGTGGACCCCTCCAGCCAGTGACGCCACTCCTCCAAGGCAAGCTTCACAGCCAGCAGCTCACGGTTCCCTATGTCGTAATTGCACTCAGAGGGGGACAACCGACGTGAGAAAAAGGCACAGGGATGGAGCTTCCTATCCTCCGCAGCCCACTGAGAAATCACAGCACCAACTCCCACATCCGAGGCGTCCACCTCCACAATGAATTGCCGGTCCACATCAGGCATCTGGAGGATGGGAGCGGAGGTGAACCTCACCTTGAGGGTACTGAAGGCTTTGTCGGCTGCTGGGGTCCAGGTGAAGGGTTGCTTGGTGCTGGTTAGAGCAGTGAGAGGGGCAGCAACGGTACTGTAGTTCCGGATAAACTTTCTATAGAAGTTAGCAAACCCCAGAAACTGTTGCAGCTTCTTTCTGTTCTCCGGAACTGGCCATGAAGTGACTGCTGATACTTTGGCAGGATCCATTTGGATACTTCCCTCTGCCACTATGTACCCCAGGAAGGCCACTGTCTTGACGTGAAACTCACATTTCTCTGCCTTGGCGTAGAGGGAATTCTCCAGAAGACGATGAAGGACTTGCTGGACATGGCGGGTGTGTTCAGACAGGTTTCTGGAGTAGATTAAGATGTCATCCAGGTAAACGAAGACAAACTTGTTTAACATGTCCCGCAGTACATCATTCACTAGAGCCTGGAACACAGCAGGAGCATTGGTGAGGCCAAAAGGCATAACCAGATACTCGTAGTGGCCTGTTGGTGTATTGAATGCGGTTTTCCATTCATCTCCCTCCCGGATCCGCACTAGGTGGTAAGCGTTTCTGAGATCCAACTTGGTAAAAACAGTGGCTCCCTGGAGCAACTCAAAAGCAGAGGTGAGCAGAGGCAGAGGGTAACGGTTTTTCACTGTGATGTCGTTGAGTCCCCTGTAGTCGATGCAGGGGCGAAGAGATCCGTCCTTCTTCCCCACAAAGAAGAAGCCAGCACCAGCAGGAGATGAAGATGAACGGATTAATCCTGCGGACAGAGAGCCATTGATGTAGTCCTCCATGGACTTTCTTTCAGGAGCAGACAACGAATAAAGACGACCCTTTGGAGGGGCTGTTCCAGGGAGGAGGTCGATGGCACAGTCGTACGGTCGGTGAGGGGGCAGAGATGTGGCTCTTGCTTTGTTAAACACCTCTCTGAGACCATGGTAGCATTCTGGGACATTGGAGAGGTCAGGAGCGGAGTTAGTAGGTACTGGCCGAGGGGGTAGTGCGGCAGCAAGCAGGCAGGTTCGGTGGCAGTCCTCTCCCCACTCCCTGATCACCCCGGTCACCCAGTCGAGCTGAGGGTTGTGCCGGCGGAGCCATGGGTAACCCAGGATGAGGGGTTGGCCTGGAGAGGGGAGCAGGTGAAACTGGATAGTTTCTTGATGGTTTCCGGACAGACCCATCGAGACCGGGGCCGTGACATGAGTGACCGATCCGAGTAAGTGTCCGTCCAGTGCCCGGGCAGGAATAGGAGGTGTCAAACGGAGGTTCTCCAGTCCCAGTTGGCGTGCCAGCTTGATGTCCATTATGTTGGCTTCGGCGCCAGAATCCACCAGAGCAGCCAGGGTGTGAGTTGAGTCAGAGAGGCGGAGGTGAACTTGCAGCAGGGGTTTGCGGTCGGAGGACTGGATGGTCATTGAACTCAACCGGACTCCCCCTATGCCCGGTGAGCTTCGGCCCTTTAAAGGGCAGGTTACCACACGATGTCCATCACCTCCACAATAGAGGCAGAGGTTTGAGGTGAAGCGGCGCTGGCGCTCTGCAGGAGTGAGAGAGGCTCGCCCAATCTCCATAGGCTCAGACTGATCAAGCTGACCTGGGTGAGTGGCAGTAGATGACAGGAGCCCAGTCGGATCTCTCCGAATGCCGGTAGTAGGTGGACCTTGGCGCCCCCTCTCACGACGACGGGTCTGTATCCTTCTGTCGATCCTGACAGTCAGTGCGATGGCTTCATCAAGAGTGGAAGGCAGTTCATGGGAGACCAACTCGTCCTTGATATAGTCAGCCAAACTATGGAAGAACGCGTCCACCAACGATGGTGTGTTCCAAGAACTTCGTCTAGCCAGGGTTCGGAAGTCGATGGAATGGTCTGCGACTGTACGTCTGCCTTGTCGAATACTGAACAGTTCACGAGACGCCTCTGCGGTTGGTGAATCCAGGTCAAACACCTTCAGCATCTCCTCAGCAAACAGGTCGAAGGTTGCACATGCGGGGGTTTGACGTTCGAACTCTGCTGTTCCCCAGAGTCGAGCTCGGCCCGTCAGGTGAGTGATGGCATACCCAACTTTAGCCCCCTCCGTGGCGAAGGTCCTTGGCTGCAAGGAGAACTGAAGTCGGCAGCTAGTCAGGAATGGCCGGACCTGGGTTGAATCGCCGTTGAACCGCTCGGGGTTTCCAATCTTGGGTTCCGGAGCAGCGGCTGCAATGACCGGGGCAGGTAACTCGGGGGCAGGGCTGGTGGGCAGACTGGCTGGGGTAAGGTTGGTGAGGAGTTGAATGATCATGGCGAGTTGTTGTTGCTGCTGCTGGAACTGCTGCTCATGCTCATCAGTTTCCATGTCGGGGAAAGTGTGCGCTGAGTCCATAATGGTCAGATCGTACTGTCACGGTTCAGACAGACGACCAGAGAACTCTTGCCCGAAAAATAACCTTTGAGTTAAGTGGGGGGTTCTGGATGTGGCATCCACGATTCTTCAGAATTCTAAAAGGTTCTTGAAATGTTTGGAAGTCTGCAGAAATTGGCCAGTGTTAATTACCTATAGTGTTCATTTTTCAGTTTAACATTTATAGTGTTGATTCAGGAGGTAAATTAACACTTTAAAGAGTTAAATGAACACCCAGTGGTGTAAAATAACACCCGTGTTGGTGTTAATAACCAGACTTGAACCAAAACCACACCAATTATTATATTTCCCAGCATGCTCTATTGCAGGTTTATTTTATTTATATATTTTTCCAATATCTATGTTTTTGCATATAATTGATTGATTAATTAATCTTATGCTACACCAATTGTAATAACAAAAACAAATCTAAACTAATCCAATCTGTTACTTGGAGTTTTTGCAACCGTTACTGAAATGGTTGTTCCAGTTTAGAAGTTTTAGGTAGTCTCATATGTTAGTCTTCCCAACCCTGGCAGTCATTCATTAGGGGTAAATAAAAATTTGAAGTGTTGGATATCCCTGGCTGGATTCCAATAGGAATTACACATCACTGTGAAAGCCAGCATAATGTGACTTGCAGGCCGTATGTGGTTAGTTTCAAGCCACTGTACTAAGGCCTTCAAAATAATTGTATTTTAATTATACCATATTCACTTAGGATCTCACTTGGTGAAGGTCACAGGACAGAAAATTAATGAATGTAACAACCATGTCTCTGTCACTAGCAAACACAGTCATCGGTGGTACTGATAACTCTAAAATTCTCTCGAAAGGCACGCTGGGAAATATGCAAATAAGGCTCAACTCCCTACAGTGTTAAAACAACACCCAATTGCATTTATCAATGCAGTTCCGCAAAGAACCATACAAGTTCTTAAATGGTTAAATGGTCAATACAGACCCCCTGGTTCGATTCCAGGCTGTATCACAACCGGCCGTGATTGGGAGTCCCATAGGGCGGCACACAATTGGCCCAGCGTCGTCCGGGTTTGGCCGATGTAGGCCGTCATTGTAAATAAGAATTTGTTCTTAACTGACTTGCCTAGTTAAATAAAGGTAAAAAACTATATACAATTTTTTTTAAAGATAAAAAATGTTGAACAAAGAAATACGATTGAAAAAATAAAAAGACTAAAAATAAAAACGTTTTTGGTAGAACCTTATATTGATTTGTGTATCGTTCTTCAAAGAACCATCCCGTTTAAAGCTTCCCCTATGGCATCGCTCTGAATAACCTTCCAACTGGAACCTTTATTTTTAAGAGTGTAGATGAGTAAGCTACCCTAACCTGTAATAGTAGGCTACAGTGGGCAAGTGAAAGTAAATTAGACTATAGCCTATCAGCATTATAGGCCTATCCAACGGCTGCGGGAGGAGTGAAGCCTGTTGTACTTCCTTCCTTCCTTCTTTCTTCTTCTTCTTGTCTCTCTGTACACAGTATGTCTATATGTGTTTATCCTACGATGGAGGATGCAGACCAAAAGTCCATGGAACTTGCTGAAATTTACCAACAGAGTTTAGAATTTTTCAAAATCATGTAAGGTTCTGCAAATGTGCCCAACTTTGGTAATTATCTAAATAATATTTAATTTTCACATGAGGTACAAAATTGTTATTATTGTGAAATACTGCATAAACCTTTATGTTGAACCTATTGGCCACTCACATAACTGTTGTTTAGAATGTCATGCTTTGTTTATTTAACTGTATTGCTGCATTTTGGCCTCATGTGCTCTTCAAATAAATTACAAGCTTACTTTGTAACCTAATGTGAAATTAAATGTGAAATCTTCTTCAAATATATTACAAGCTTACTTTGCAACCTAATGTGAAATTAAATGTGAAATCTTACATTGTCCACAGAAAAAAAAGACATTTGTCATGACTTCATTTTTGGACGCTGCTCTCGAGGAGGTACAGTAACTGCTTGCTTAACAGTATAGCTTCCTTTCTCACGTCCTTACCGGTTAGTGATCTCAAGTCCTCTGTCTTGCAAACACAAGTGATGGCGCTCTTGACAACTTCTTAGCATGTTGCGCAACCAAAAAGTTCGGCATTCAATGGTGTGGCTGGAGGGATTTCAAGCTGAGGAGTGAGGTTATCAATCCAACTCAGTTACAATAGCACTGGTGTATTACATTTTAGTCATTTAACAGACGCTCTTATCCAGAGCTACTTACAGTTAGTGAGTGCATACATTTTCATACTGGCCCCCCGTGGGAAACGAACCCACAACCCTGGCATTGCAAGCGCCATGCTCTACCAACTGAGCTACAGGGGACCTGTATTATCAGTGGAAAAGTACCATTCACACTGTAAATTATTCTTTACAGTATTTTGAATAACACATTCATGTTCTAATTTCCCAGACTTAATCAGCAAGGTCTATTGAACTAAGTGCATGGGCGTCCATTCTACTATGCCATACCAATTCGAGGTGGAGAATGGACGTGGCTGGTCACGTATCCCATATAATGAGGGTGTTGAAAGGGACTACTGTGACCCAGCAAAGACCCAGAGGTATGTATGTCCACAACATGTTGTTAGGATGCAGTGAGACAATGGGGATGTGTAAAAATTTAATAAAAACATTGAAGATGTTCCTATGTCCTACAGTTGCAGGATAACACCGGTTAACTTTATCACCATGACCCGTGGGCACCGCAAAGTTCGCCGCCTTGCTACGGTTTCCTCCCTGGACCAGCCAGATGCTGTCCTTGCTACCAAGTAGACCTGGTACTGGGAGGAACACCATGGTGGCTGGACTCCATATTTGTCATCTGTATGTAGTGAGGATACCTAATTTCTCCCTCTAACATGGCACAAAGAAAAGGTGTCTCTAGTGTTGGTGTGTGTGTGTGTGTGTGTGTGTGTGTGTGTGTGTGTGTGTGTGTGTGTGTGTGTGTGTGTGTGTGTGTGTGTGTGTGTGTGTGTGTGTGTGTGTGTGTGTGTGTGTGTGTGTGTGTGTGTCTCCTAAGATTGTGGAGGACCTAGAGAGGGTGTACAAGGATCCCTCCCATGGTTCAGTGATTGTGTTTACCGCTGGAAGATTCACCTATGAAGTCAATTTGGAAGGTAGGCAGATATCAGATGTGATTCAGTATGGTGTAGCTACAGCACAGTTAAAATACTGTTGATAAAAACAGGTTTTCAGAACACTAAAGATTGAACAATGAAACATGTTGTCCTATCTGAAACTCACAGGATAGACAGACGTCATTGTTGATAGAGAATAACTTGTATGTTGTGTCTGTAGGTTACTCATCCATTTTTGTACACCTGTTCTATTGTGTGAACTGAGAAATATATATTTTCAGTCTCGATCCAGATAAATACAAGCTCACACACCCAAAGACTGGTAAGAAGACGGCTGATCTTCAAATCATCCAGAGATGTTCAGAGAGCTACTGGGTAAGAGTGAAATACAGCAAATTCAATAATGATTGATTTTCTAGGGGAAGGATACAAGATTATGTAATTTGATTTTGGTTCATTGAGTGTGATATTGGGTCTCTAGATTTGTATTATCTTTGTGGTATGATGAGGACAACATGGTCATTGATGACACTGTATCCCTTCACTTTTTCCTTAAGCACATCTAATACCAACACTTCATCTGTGCCACCTTTCTGGGACCAGTCTCGGTTGCCTGGGATTGGCATTGAGGTAATACAAAACACTGAATATTGTGTCAATACTCACTGACTGTGAGTCTGACCTTACATTGAAAGAGCACTGAATATGAATGAGCTTATGAGGAGTTTGTCTTACTGTAAATCTGTCTTCACAGAGAGTTATGTTGCCAAACTCAGCAAAGGAATACAAAGACATCAAGGCCCTTTTTGAGAAAACAACAGTGGGGTTTCACATACGCACCATCGAGAGAGTGCAAAACCCTATCCTATGGAAGTTCTATGTGCTGTAGGTTTCTTAAAGACTGTTATATCAAAACAAATGTATTTCGTTTTTTCTTTAGTTGGGTTTTAATTGACCCAAGTATATTCCTTTTTAGGCAAAGAGATCAGATGGAATCCTCAGGGACAAGCATCAATGAGAAGCAGCTTTTCAATGGAACTGACTCCAAACATGTTGACAGCATTTGCAGAAACAACTTTGACTGGAGGCTATGTGGAACAAATGGTACTTCATTTGGAAAAGGTTGGATGCCAGTATAGTAGTATACTTTGTGTATGCAATGTTTCAATGAATCCAAATGAATAACTGTTGTGTTGGCACAAACAAAGGCTGTTATGCCTGTGAATATCATAGACTATTAGGGTATGCCCAATGGATAAACAATATAATTTCAAAAGGTTTGTTCAAATGGCCAGTTACATATTCTTAGACAGAAAAATGTCCCAACTGGTTTATTAAAGCTTGGAATATCCTTCCCTTACTGTCAGTAAGAACAAAGGCAATTTATAGCTAAGATTTAATACATGAAAGCATCTAAACATTGGGCTTAACATAGTCAATAAATCTTATTTTCAGGAAGTTACTTTGCCAGGGATGCTAAGTGCTCACACAGCTACACCAGCCAGTCAGGAGTGAGGTCCATGTTTGTTTGTCGTGTGCTGGTGGGAGACTACACTGTGGGAAACTCCAGCTATGTGAAATCACCTCCTAAAGAAACAGGAGGATCCATCTTCTATGACAGCTGTGTGGACAACATCCAAGACCCCAAAGTATTTGTAGTTTTTGAAAAGTATCAGGTTTACCCAGAATACCTCATACAGTACAATGATACTGCTTCTCCACCAAACCCTACTCCCCAGCCAAATCCCGTTGTCCAACCAAACAGTACTCCCCAGCCAAATCCCGTTGTCCAACCGAACAGTACTCCCCAGCAAAATCCCAATGCCTCAGATTCAGAAGATCCTGAATTTAATTGTTGTTGTTTGAGTTTAGGCTGTATCTTTTGTGGCATCTACTTCTATTTCTGTCACGATGACGATTGACCAGGCCTTGATGTATACAGGTGCCCTCTAGCAAAGCACTTAAGCCCAATTCCTCCAGGGATGCTGATATGGCTGACCCTGGCTCTGACCCCATTGTTTCTGTTAGCCGAAAAATGCCAGCTTTTGGCCGAAAACAAATGAAAAGCCGATAAATAAAATGGTTGCTGGCCAAATTGACCAGGAGAAAAAACAGTGGTAGGCAGGCTTTCAGCGGGTTACCCACCACTTTACAATGTGAGCTGGAGGCAGTATGCATTTTGAAAACATACTTAATTGTTTCAAACCTGAACGTTTTACTTCATATTATGAGCCATGTCTTACCTTGCTTGAAAATCCGACCATAGAAAGGTGGAAGCAATCATTTTATAAAGACTTCATAGGCATCATGTGAGTCTCAAGGTTGGGGAAGCATAGGCCTACAATTTATCCTACCATTTCTACCGAGCTGGGTGTCAGTTAGGATTTTCACATGTGCATTTTCATGGAACAGTTTCATTTCAATAATAACGTTTTAATTTCTCAAAATCATTGTCAAGTGGTTAATAATGCAAATCTTAATTTAAATGATCCAAATATAAAAGTTAAAATTCAACTAATGCTAGAGCACCAGCCTCTGCCATATTATGGACACATTGATACACCGTGATCGTTTGCGACTAAATAGACTAAATGAGTACGTAGTACTCGGAAATTGCCATTTCAATTTTCAACTATAGTATACAGTGGGGAAAAAAAAGTATTTAGTCAGCCACCAATTGTGCAAGTTCTCCCACTTAAAAAGATGAGAGAGGCCTGTAATTTTCATCATAGGTACACGTCAACTATGACAGACAAATTGAGAATTTTTTTCCAGAAAATCACATTGTAGGATTTTTAATGAATTTATTTGCAAATTATGGTGGAAAATAAGTATTTGGTCACCTACAAACAAGCAAGATTTCTGGCTCTCACAGACCTGTAACTTCTTCTTTAAGAGGCTCCTCTGTCCTCCACTCGTTACCTGTATTAATGGCACCTGTTTGAACTTGTTATCAGTATAAAAGACACCTGTCCACAACCTCAAACAGTCACACTCCAAACTCCACTATGGCCAAGACCAAAGAGCTGTCAAAGGACACCAGAAACAAAATTGTAGACGTGCACCAGGCTGGGAAGACTGAATCTGCAATAGGTAAGCAGCTTGGTTTGAAGAAATCAACTGTGGGAGCAATTATTAGGAAATAGAAGACATACAAGACCACTGATAATCTCCCTCGATCTGGGGCTCCACGCAAGATCTCACCCCGTGGGGTCAAAATGATCACAAGAACGGTGAGCAAAAATCCCAGAACCACACGGGGGGACCTAGTGAATGACCTGCAGAGAGCTGGGACCAAAGTAACAAAGCCTACCATCAGTAACACACTACACCACCAGGGACTCAAATCCTGCAGTGCCAGATGTGTCCCCCTGCTTAAGCCAGTACATGTCCAGGCCCGTCTGAAGTTTGCTAGAGTGCATTTGGATGATCCAGAAGAGGATTGGGAGAATGTCATATGGTCAGATGAAACCAAAATAGAACTTTTTGGTAAAAACTCAACTCGTCGTGTTTGGAGGACAAAGAATGCTGAGTTGCATCCAAAGAACACCATACCTACTGTGAAGCATGGGGGTGGAAACATCATGCTTTGGGGCTGTTTTTCTGCAAAGGGACCAGGACGACTGATCCGTGTGAAGGAAAGAATGAATGGGGCCATGTATCGTGAGATTTTGAGTGAAAACCTCCTTCCATCAGCAAGGGCATTGAAGATGAAACGTGGCTGGGTCTTTCAGCATGACAATGATCCCAAACACACCGCCCGGGCAACGAAGGAGTGGCTTCGTAAGAAGCATTTCAAGGTCCTGGAGTGGCCTAGCCAGTCTCCAGATCTCAACCCCATAGAAAATCTTTGGAGTGAGTTGAAAGTCCATGTTGCCCAGCGACAGCCCCAAAACATCACTGCTCTAGAGATCTGCATGGAGGAATGGGCCAAAATACCAGCAACAGTGTGTGAAAACCTTGTGAAGACTTACAGAAAACATTTGACCTGTGTCATTGCCAACAAAGGGTATATAACAAAGTATTGAGAAACTTTTGTTATTGACCAAATACTTATTTTCCACCATAATTTGCAAATAAATTCATTAAAAATCCTACAATGTGATTTTCTGGATTTTTCCCCCTCATTTTGTCTGTCATAGTTGACGTGTACCTATGATGAAAATTACAGGCCTCTCTCATCTTTGTAAGTGGGAGAACTTGCACAATTGGTGGCTGACTAAATACTTTTTTCCCCCACTGTAAATACCTACAAATAAAAACAGTAGGAAATATAGCCTACTGATAAATTCTGTTTTTTTCAATCACATTCATCTCTCTACTCAACCTGTCTGCCTCACTTTCTATCTGTCTTGAGCTATTGCTAGTGAAGTGCAACATTGTATCAAATCAATCAACTGGATCCTGCCCGAAGCTGTCTCTAGCAAACAACTTGCCTATTCTAGGCCCTCAGAGTTTCCTGTGCCAGTGAGCTCGGGTATTTTATGACATTTCCACTGGATATATGGGATCATCAGATAATTATATCTTGCTCACCGAGGCAATACATTTTTTTGTACTTATACCCCTTTTTCGTGATATCCAATTGGTAGTTACAGTCTTGTCCCATTGCTGCAACTCCCCTACGGACTCGGGAGAGGCGAAGGTCGAGAGCCATGCGTCCTCCGAAACACGACCCTACCAAGCCGCACTGCTTGCTTAACCCGGAAGCTGGCCGCAGGAGGAAACATCGGAGGAAACACCGTCCAACCCAAAGTCAGCTTGCAGGCACCCGGCCCCCCACAAAGAGTCGCTAGAGCACGATGGGACAAGGAAATCCTGGCCTACCCAACCATCCCCTAACCCGGACGACCCTGGGACAATTGTGCACCGCCTCATGGGCCTCCCGGTCACGACCGGCTGTGACACAGCCTGGGCGTGAACCCGGTGTTCGAACCCAGTATATGCATTGGGTGCGCAACTCGGGAGGCTGGTGATTATCGAGGCTGGAGGCTGGAGACTTGGTGATTATCGAGGGGGAGATTGTTGGAAAGATTATTCAAATTGGCCTACTGTGAGGAACTATTAGACTATCATTCACAATGGATGTTAAAAAAACAGACTTCATTGACTTACTGTGTGAGGTGAAGACAAGATGACTGAGAAGCTCAGTTTATTAGTGGTGGACATGGTGACTAAGACAATCAGGAATCAGACATCCCCAAATGGACTATCCTACATTTGCGCGCAGCAGGCCACGTAGGCTACTTCTATGCGTGTTCAGGCGCGTGCGCTCCCTCAACATTAAGAATACAGAGAAACCAGACTCATGCTTATTGCTCACATAGAGCACTCCAAAGAAAAGACAATTAAAAAATTGACAACTAGTAAATTATGTTATGAAATAAACCAAAACGTGTTTCTCACAAGTGTAGCAGGTTGTGAACTCTGCAAACAACGTTTCCACTCTGAGAATGAGAACGGTAAATTACTGTAGGCCTAATTAGTAATACCATGCATTAACAGTAATTAATGTAAGCAAATGAAGGGCATTAAAAGTACATTTACTGCTGGTGACATATGTAATGGGGAATTTATAAAAAATAAACAATCAAAAGGGAAAACAATGCACATGAAACAATGAATGGCAAGAATTGGCAGGAGACAGCTGAGTGGATTGTGGAGAGCTGAGTTTTAAATTCTGGAGAGAGATGCGCCTATAGGCTATCTGCGCCACACACCCCTCCCCTTCTTCTTGTCTCAAAATGTGTAATTATACTCAAGACACATTATCTTCACACATATTTTAGATGCTTTTCACTGACAGCCACAACTCAATAATCAGCTAAGTCGTTTGCCACGTGCGCTGCCTGCCATTTCTCTCCTGTTCTATTGGTTTTCATATCAACTTTCTTTCATTGTCCAGAAGCCAAATGCACAATCCTAGTCATAATAGCAACCCATCCTAGTTGTTACAGCTTTAGATTCACCCTCTTTCTAAGTTTCTAACTGAGATTTTAATCTCTGCCATAATATGATAATGATGAATGTAGCCTGCTGCTCGCATCAGGTGCGCTGTTTAGAATGGTGTTTCCCCTTTTTCCAGCAAATTGCATTTTGCCAAATGTTTGAAATTGATGTTTTATTGGCTGCTTCATTACAGGAGTTGCATGCTTTGTTAAAATGAATTACCATAATCTAAATGTGATTTCTGTCATTCTACGCACCATGGGTGGACCCCCTAATGAGTTACACACCCAATGCATATACTGTATGTGTCGGGTACATTTCTCAAATGGCGGGTAAATTAAAATATTCCCGGCACCACATTTTCCCTGCATCGGGTGTCTCAGTGGCAGTCTGTGTTTATGCAGGGTATTTTGTTTGTCAGCATGTGTCATTGGTATATTTATTGTTGTGATGTTATTTTCTCTCCCATGGCGTTAGTAACATCTTACTCGCTGTAAAAAGAAAAGGTTCCTGGTGGATCCTTTAGGGGTTCTTCAAACTGAAACTGAATTTCCCTCTAATATCCTTTTTGGTTTCATGTTATAACTCCGCCCCCATTATTATTAATAATAATAATCAGCATAACAATAACAACAATAAAACCATATTTTAGTTTTCAGTGTTTATTTAGATTTTAGTGGCAAAGCAGAATAAAACAATCAAAATATGAGGTAAACTCCCAGCAAAGCCCCAAGCCAATGGGTAAATCCTCTGGCATAGTCTTTTGTACCCATAGCCAGAATGGTTTTGCAGTGCATGGTGATCGAACCGGTTTCTGGTTATATTCAGAGGTGTAGGAAGGGTGAAGTCTGTGAATACAAAAAAATATTATACAGGTGATTATTATACAAAACGTGCACACAACAGTATTCATACCTTGGTTTTTGTGGTAAATGTGAATGAAATAACTGTTTCTGTATTTGTATTTGTTAGG